AGAGGGCTCAGTCTTCAGCTGTGCCAGGGGAGGTTTAGGTTGGATATCAGAAAGAATTTCTTTGCAGAGAGGGTGCTCAGCCATTGGGATGGGCTGCCCAGGGAAGGGGTGGATTCTCCATCCCTGGAGGTTTTTAAGGAGAGACTGGATGTGGCATCAGTGCCATGGGCTGGGAACCACAGTGGGGTTGGATCAAGCTGATTCTATGATTTTATGACTGTGCTGCCAGGTGGCTTTGGGGTGCAGCAGAATTGTTGTGGTTTAGCTGCCCACAAAGCCCCACAAAAGCAGAGCATCCCTGCTCTTCTGGAGTAACCTGAGCACCTCTGTGGGAGGTGACAGATGTGGGAGCCCTTCTCTTTGTGCAGGGAGCAGCTGACCAACCCTGTGCCCTCAGCTTGGAGCTTGACCACCCCTTCAGAGCCATTTGCTAATGGGAAGCAGGTTTGCAGTGCCCTGGGGTGAGCAGAACATGTCCCATTAAGGCTGGTAACTCCCTGGGGTGCTGCAGAACCGGGCCCAGCCAGTTAATTGGATGAGGACAGTGTGTCCCTGGGATCCAGGCTGTCCCTGCTGCATTCCCACATTTCCTGAGTGCCTCTTTTCCCCAGGGCAGGTCCCTGGTGCAGGGATCCCACAGCAGCAAATATAGGTCAGAGAGGCAACTGAGGTCTTCACTAAGCAGGAGCTGGTTGCCATGGGAACGGGCTGAATCCCTCAACAGCTGGGTGCTCTGATGGAGGGAGGGGGTCCCTGGCTGACCCCCCCCCCCATTCCTCAGCCCCATCTTCTTGCCCAGCACTCCCCCTACCCCCACTAGCTTCATAATCATTTCTCTGACAAGCTCAGATTTATCTGCCTGTCACTGTGTCTTTACAGCCCCCTCTGCAAAGCAGACCCTGATCCTTTATGAGGTCTCTGGGCATAATTAAAACCTTGAAAGGATCATGTATTTCTGAATGCAAATGTTAATAAATGTGCCTGTCGTGCAAGGGGAAAAGAATGGCCAAAAAATACCTGGATTTCACAGTCAGGCAAGACAGAATCAGCTTGAGACTCACATGGATGGCCTGAATGCCCTGAACTGAGTTTGGAAATAGCTGATTTTGCTCTTTTCATGGGGTGAAACGTGAAACATGTGTTTGTGCAGGTGGGTTCTCAAATGTGCTGCTCCTCAGTTGTTCTGAGGAGTAACTGTGGCCTGTGTTTAGGGCTGGGGGCCACCTGGCCTGGCTCCCTGGATGCTGTCTGGGGAGAATTTCCTGAAGGCTTTGAAGGCAGTGTGGGAAGTCCAGTGTCTTTCACAGAATCACAGAATCAACTAGGTTAGAAAAGACCTCTGAGATCACTGAGTTTCCTTACCAACTGCCTGTGAAGAAAGACTTGATTTAACCTGGGCATGGTGGTGCTTGGAGGGGTGGTTTAGAATCCCAGTGGCATCCTCAGCAGGATCCTGGAGTGATCCCAGTGTACCTGGTTGCACCTCTCCGTACCCTGGTGTCAGGGATGTTCTGGCTGCTCTGTGACAGTGATTTCTGTCCCAATCTGTTCCCCTCTGGGTTCCAGTGACGTCAGGAAGTTCAAGGAGACCAAGAAGCAGTTTGACAAGGTGCGGGAGGACATGGAGATCTCGCTGGTGAAGAACGCCCAGGCCCCCCGGCACAAACCCCACGAGGTGGAGGAGGCCACGGGCACCTTGACCATCACCAGGAAGTGTTTCAGGCACCTGGCCCTGGATTATGTGTTGCAGGTTGGTGGCAGTGCCCCCCTCCCAGTTCCCACTGGGCCTCCCAGTGCAGAACAAGGGACAAAGGGACAAGTGGTGGGGGGGTCTTCCCGCTTCGTTCAGCAGGGATTGCTAATCCCTTTTGCCCTCTGCCCCCTGGGGCAGGGAGTCCTTAGGATGTGTTTTCACTCCTGAGAAGAAAAATGGTTTGTTTTTTTTTTTCCCAGTAACATAAATTAAACTATTTTTTTTTTTCAATAAGAGAAATAAAGTGGCTCGGACCGAATTCCCCATTCCTGGCAGGGATTTCCTGCAGGAACACTCACTCCCTGCTCCCACAGTGGTCAGGGCTTTGACTTTGAATCATTCATAGCTTTCCTGGTAGGTTTGTGCACTCAGGCAGTGGGGGTGGGTTAAGCAGAGAAATTCAGTGTCACCACTGCTGCCTGTGTGTCCCCACGAGCTGTCACTGCTGCAGCATCAGCTCAGACCATCTGCTGACAGTTCTGCCTGACCAGGAGACAGTCTCTGGTGTCCCATCCTCTGGGCAATGCTTTCCCCTCAAAGTATAAATCATGCATGTTGTTGGTGCTTTAGCACTGCAATTTTTTTACATCTTTATTTCCTGGTGAGGTCACTCCATAATAAGCTCCCTCTGTTTCTCCCACTGACAAAGAGGGAGAATTCCTTGATTGTGCTGATCCATTACTGGGGAGGTTTCTCTGTTGGTCCACTTAAACCCCTCAGTTTTGAAATGTGCAGCCATGAACTTGTCTGGGTATCCTTTGGTGTTTAATTAAGGGTTTAATGAGGAGAGTTATTTTATTCTTTTATATCTGTAATGTGGTACCCGCTCGAAGAAATTTATCAGTGACCTCATTTATCAGTTTATCAGTGACCTCATTTATCAGTTTATCAGTGACCTGATAAATTGAACATTTCCTTCACTTGGCACCAAAGGGCACCCTGGGGTCACTGTTTGTTCCAGCCTGTGTGCAGACATCCACCCACCAGTGACCTTGGAGCAGCCCAGGTCAGAAAAGGCATTTTTATCCCACCTGGAACTGCCCAGAACTGCCTTTACTGGGGAACTTTACTCTGGAATCGTGCAGGGGATGCTCTGGGGGTGCTGCTGGGGGTATCACAGCCCCGAGGGCTGTCACAGCAGGCTGGTCATGGCTCTCCAAGCCAGGCTGCTGCTGAGATTTGTGTCCTGGTTCCTCCCCAGATCAACGTGCTGCAGGCCAAGAAGAAGTTTGAGATCCTGGATGCGGTAAGAGCTCCCTGTGTTTCCTGGGGCTGCTCTCAGTGAGCCCATGCAAGGCAGGCCCTCTCCATTTCAGGTTGCAGGGCTCCACATACCAGCTGCCTGCCCTGGAGATACTGTTGGCACTGCTCTGGGGGCTGCAGGTATGGCACCAGAGGGGAGCTAGAGGGCCAGCAGGATCCTCCCCAGGGGGGGAATTTTCAGGGGTGCAGGACACTCCTTTTATGCTTTGTGCTCACAGCAGGTGGAAGGAATTGTGAGAGGAAGAAAGGAGAAGAGGGAGAGGCATCTAACGGAGAGATTGCTTTGGGAAGGGAAAGTTAGACCCAGTTTTGTGGGTAATAATTTTGTCCCAGAACCTGTTGTGACCCTGCTGTTGTTCCCTCCCCAGATGCTGTCCTTCATGCACGCCCAGTACACCTTCTTCCAGCAGGGCTACACTCTGCTCCACGAGCTGGATCCCTACATGAAGAAGCTGGCCACGGAGGTGAGGGCACAGGGAATGTCTGAGAGGGGGAAAGCACATCCCTTTTTCCTGTTCCCACACATCAGGGAGTGGTTGGAGCATCGAGCCTGGTGGAGGCTGGCTGGGGTGACACTTGTGGGGTGACAGCCAAGGGCTGTGGTTGCTCAGTGCACACCCAGACACAGCCTGTTCCCTTCTGGTGGGGATGTTAGGAAGGGCTGGTGTAATCCCAATGGCTCACAAACCTCCTTCCTGACTCTTCTGCCTGTTTGTCCTTCTCCCTGCCTTTAGCTGGACCAGCTGGTGATCGATTCTGCCGTGGAGAAGAGGGAGATGGAGCACAAACACGCCCTGATCCAGCAAAGGGTGAGTCCTGGGGCTGCAACCTGGTGCCAGCAGCACTTGTGCCCATCTGGATCCCAGTGGGAGCTGCCAGCTGGGGAGGGGCCTTGCTGGGTCAGGCCTTCCCAGCCTGGAGATGAGGGATAACCCTGGGGATACTGGGATCAAAGGCAGGATGTTCAGCCACTGACTCATCCGAGTATGGAAGGGAGATGGGCACAGGCAGGACCCCCCTTGCACCAGGGGGGTTTTCCCAGCTCTACCACTGACCTGCTGTGCCTCTGAGCAAACCTTCCTGCTCACTTTGTCTCCCTCTTTGCTGCCGAGGGCGTGGGGGTTGTTCTTTAAATGTTCTTTAAATGTTGCTCTGTGGATGTCTCTGAGGTGGAGGAGTGGATGCAGTGGTTTGGAATCCCCTGTGGAAAGGGCTGCAGAGCAGAGCTGCTTTTTGGGGGGAGATTAGAGCCTTTTATCCCACCCTTTCTTTCCCTCTCCTCTCCCCCAGCCTCACATCCTTCCCCTGGCCGGGCAGGCCAGCTTTTAGCCCACCAGCTCTGTGATCTCCAGCCAGCACTGGGGTGTCCCTGCCACCTCTCCCTGCCCTACCCATGGTGAGGCAGCAGTGTGGCAGCACTCCCGGGTGCCCAACCCACCCAGATGGGCAGAGTCCCTGTGAAATCATCCAGCAGATGGACGAGGGGATGCCCCTGTGGCACCCACAGGCAGGACTTGCCTTTCCTTCAGGCACAGGGAGCTCACACTGCACTGCAGGGGTGTCAGTGGGCCATGGGGAGGGAGGAGCAGGGAGCTGCAGAGACCTTCCCTCTGCCCCACACTGCTCTCAGGTGATTCCTGCTTAGCTCCCAGGGCATGCCATGGCTTCAGCCTGGAGCAGCAGGACTTTGGGGAGGTCCCAGCAGGGGCTGAGCAAGCTGCTGCTCTGGTGACCCACTGGGTGTGTGTCCTCTCACCTGCTGGAATTGGGAGGAACCACCACAAACTGGCAGGATAATGGGATTTATTATCAAACAGGCCTGACCTTTCAGTAAGGAGGCATCTTCAGTTAACGTGGGCTCTGATTTTTCAAACCTGGGAATGATTCCAAATCTGAGGCTTGCAGAAATACCAACTAATTACTTATTTTTTCTTTTCCTTCTCTTCCTCCTGGACTGCTGGCCTGGCCCTGCAGACCCTCCTGCAGGTGAGTGCCCACACGTATTTCCTTCTTCTGGCATCTTTATTTCTCAGAACTTGCTGCTCTGGATATTTACCAGATATTTACAATATTTACCAGATATTTACAATATTTACCTGATACTTACAATATTTACCGGATATTTACAATATTTATTGTGCTGCCTTTCAAAGCAACCCCAAGAAGCCTTGGCGTGGCATCAGTGGTGTCACCCGAGCTGGAAATGTCATTTTTAAAGCCCAGTTTTAAGTGAGTTGGGTTTCACCCTCACCAAATTGTTTTTCAGCCCTGTTCTAAAAGAAGGTTTTGGTTGCCTGTGCTCTGTGTGATGCTCAGCTGTGACTCAGTGTTGCAGTGGCAGCAGTTCCTGGCTGGTCTCTGGTGTGTTTTTGGTGCCTGGAGCCTTTGCTGGCTCTGGTGGGAGGAGTGTGTGTCTGGCAGGCACTTGTGTGGATCAATACTTCTGCACAGAAGGAATTTGAAGTGGCTGTTGTTTCCTCTCTAATGCTCTCTCTCTCTCTCCAAAAAATGTCATAACCCTCGAGATGGGGACAGAACCAGCTTTGAAAGCTGATGAGTGATGTGCCCTGGGAATGGCCTGGGCATGTGCTGCCTCTGCTTAAGTGTTCTGAGGGAGGGGGAGAGTCCATTTGTGAACCCTCAGGTCCCCTGGGACTCTGCTGGAGTGATGACTTCATCCAGGGGGACGTGGAAAAGCTCTCCAGGGCAGGGCCTTTCACTCCAGTCTCTTCCTGGGGCTGAGAGAGCTGAACATCCTCACTGCAATTTAGGATTTCAAGCTTCCTGCCTGGGACTCTTTCATGAGCTGCTTTTCAGCTGCTCTGAGTCTGTGCTGCTCTTCCCTTTGTGATGGAGCAGGGTCCCTAATTCCCCACAGCATTTAATTGAATATATATCTTCCTGCTGAGCCCACAAAACCCTCTGGTCCCTTGAAAAATGTGGAGATTTAGTTGTGCTTAATTAGAGTGGTGGCATAAATATAATCTTTTCCTCGCTAGTGTCTTCCCAAACAGACTTCCTTTAACCCAGGAAATTTGGGTTAAAGAATACATTTTGAAGTGTTTTTGGGGGTGTGGGAGCTGTGCAGATGCTGAAGGCAGGGAATTGTCCTTGGACAGCTTTGTGAGGTGTGGGGGAAGCCTTCCGAGAGCCCAGTTCATCAGGAAATGGTCTGTGGCATTTTCTTTCATTATTGTTTTAATTAAAATGAATCTGGTGGGAAGGAAAAGCTCATCACAAATCTCGACTGTTTCGTTTGCTGCTGTAATTTAGGTAATCTGGAAAAGGCAGACCTGGGAATTTTTCTCAGTGGGAAACAGGTAGAGAGAGGGTGATGTTTAAACCAGTCCTTCCTCCCAGACCTTCCTGAATCCTTCTGCTGCACCAAAACTGAGAGTCCTGGCTCTAAAAGTGGGAGATGTTAGATTGGATATTAGGGAAAATTTCTCCACTGAAGGGTGGTCGGGCATGGGAACAGGGGTGGGATCACTGGGAGTGCTCAGAACCGTGGGGATGTGGCACTTGGGGACATGGTTTGGGGGTGAAAACTGTGCTGGGTTAAGAGTTGGGCTTGGTGGTTTTAAAGGACTTTTCCAACTTCATTGATCTCGTGATTCCAAGAGCTATATAATCACTAGATGTGATTCCAAGGGCTGTATAATCACTGTATGTGATTCCAAGAACTATATAATCACTAGATGTGATTCCAAGGGCTATATAGAAGCTCCTTTCCAGCCTCTCACCTCTTCCCAGCCTGGAGCAGTTTGGGAAGCAGTCGTGCCTCTCTGTTGCCCGTGTGGAGTGCCAAGGCAGAGCTCTCTGCCTCATTTAGCCCAGCTGGTGGGTAACAAACCAGGGGCCAGATGGTACCTCAACCCCCTGAATCCTGTGGCTGGAACGACTGGCCCGAGGGTGGCCCTGCTCCAGGAGCTGGGGAAGCAGATCCCGGGAAAAGGCAGACAAGGCTGGCTCTGTTAAGGTCAGGGAGGCACCGGGTGAGCATCCTGCTGTCAGCTCAGCTCTGTGCTGCCTGGCTTCTCCTGCCAGCTGTATGGTAATTAGCCCCTGCTCTAAGCTGATTGCCCCGGAATAGGAGGCTCGGGGAGGGGGCCAGTGGGTGGTCCCCAGGGACCAGCAGCCTCTCGGAGCCCCCTCGCTCTGCCAGGGGCCGAAGGCAGAGCTTGGAGCTTCCCAAAAATAAAAAAAAAAAAAAGAGGAGGAGGAGGAGGGGTAAAGGAGAAGGGGCTGTGAAAGAAATCCCTCCTTCCCTGCCAGCCCCCGGTGCTGAGCAGAGATGCTGCTCTAGAGAGCTCAGCTCTGCGGGCAGGAGCAGCAGAACCTCCCTCGCAGCTGCAGCATGAAGATTTTCGGCAGGCTCGAGTACCTCCTGGTAAGGGCACTCCTGCAGGGATGCCTGGGCTCGGGGGAGCACGTTTAGGGTTCCCTTTTCCCTTGGGAATTGCGCCTTGCTGGCTGATGGGACCCCAAACAAACCACGTTTTGCTGCTGCGAATTTTCGGGTCCTGCCTGTGGGTTGGGAGGGCTCTGGGGCAGGGCACGGGGCTCTGGGCATCATCTGCTGCCAGGGAGAGCGTTTGGCATTAGGAGACTCGAGAAACAAAAGATCTGCCACTGGGATTTGGCCAGGATGGGTGAAAGCTGTCTGAGCAGAACGGGATGGGAGGTGGGGGAGCCCTCCTCCAAATTCCATCTGCTCCGAGGGGCTGGGGTTGGACACGGCACAGGCAGAGAGGGGAAAAGAGCCAGAGAGAGCAAAGCTTGAGATCCAAACAGGCACCAGGAGAGAAGATCAAGTGCAGGCACCGGTGTGTGTGTGGAAGGGGGTGTGTGCACCTTTAGGGAATGGGAATTCTCCTCGGAATTGGGGTTTCTTGGCAATCAAACAGCCAAACCAGGCACAATTATTTCCAACTGGCCTCCAGAAGTTGTGTTCAATGCATGGATGTTGTTAATGTGCCTGATGTTATTGTGAATATTGAGCATCACTGGATGCCCAAGGAGGCACTTTCGGATAAAAGCCTTTGTCTCCTAAGAGGGAAAGCAGGTGTTGCATGTGTTGTTGCTTATCCTAAATGGTATTGATTGAAAAGAAAATAATATGGAGGTTTGGTAGTAAGAGACATTTCTTTGAGTATCTAAGAACTGAAATGAGTCCCTGCTCATGCTTGCTTAGGTTTGATAGTGTTTTCTATCAGTAAAAATCAAAATATTGCATAAAAAAGGAGAGTGATGTTATTTCCATGCTGAATTGATAACTGAGGGAATAATGCTGTGACTTTTCCAGGCAGAGCCATTGCCATAGTGATTGTATTTATTTTAAAGACTTTTAAAGAAGTCTTGGTATTTTAGAAGAAAGGTCCTACCTGTTTTCAGCCAGGGGTTGTGCTTTTTGGGATAGGAATGAACTATCAGTGAGACCTTCCTCCTTCGGTGGGAATTCTCTTAGGCAGGGGGGCTCCTTCCTTGGAAGATTCCCTCCCCCAAAGATTCCAGGGGCAGCTTCACTCTTCATATTCAATCTGCTCCCTGATGCTGGAGGGCTGTTTAATTTAATCAGCCGTTTTCTCTGCATGGAATGCTCATTTCTGAGGAGGAATTGGAGGAGCTTGGCTGGCATCTTGCTGGACTGGGGAGTTCCTGGGTGGGCCACGAGGTCACCTTCAAATTAGGATTACTCTTTCTTTTTTCCCCCCTCCCCTTTTCTTTTTTTATCCTTTCCTGGGTCTGTCTGTGTCCTGTGCTGGGGTTTTTAATTTCCATTTGCTGGTTTGGAAGCATCCACATTAATGTCCTTTCTCCCTCCCCTCTTGGAATGTGTTGTGTGACTTCACTGTTGCTCCAGCAGCTCCCATGGAAACCATTGTGGTGGCCTTTCCAAAAGAATATCAGTTCCCAGGCAGCCTGGTGGGTGAACTGGGAGTGACAGGAGGGGACAGTGAGCGGGGTTGCTGTGATTTACTGGCAGTCAGGGAGGAAAAGGGAAGCAGATGATGGCAGAGTTCTGGTGTCTTATTTTGATTTCTCGTACCAGGGTGTGATCCAACATGTCACTGCTGTTCTGATCCTGCCTGCACATGCTGCTGGAGCCAAAGCCATTCAGATCCCTGTCCTGGGAAGCCTTTTACTGTGTCAAGCATTTGTTCTCCTTGCAGAGACAATGAGGTGCTAAATGCAGGCTTAATAAATCAGTCCAGGCTCATTTAGGACAGGCTTGCCTGCTCTGTGTGTACTGCAGTGAGGGGGAGAATTCAGCAGAAGGTTGTTGGTTGAAATCATGCATTAAAATCTCGAGGAGGGGACAAGAGAAGGCATGAGATGTGCTCTCCACTGCATCCCTGGGGGAGTCACAGAGACTGGAGGCAGAGTTGATGCTGTGCTGGGCAGGGGCAGTGTCTCAGCCAGGGCCCTTCCACTGATTCCCCAGAATTAAAAAGGATCAAAATCACTTTGTGCCAAGGAATGGAACAGATAGAGGGGCACATTAGGGGCAGGGATTGCCTGTCCCAGCACCTTTCACCAGGATGATCTCCTCAGGCAGAGCCTGAGCTGGCTCTGACCTGGAATCACATTCAACAGATGTTCTTGTAACTCCCTTTTCCAGAGATTTGTCCTCTCTTCCAATGGCTGTGGTAAGAAAGTTCCCTGGATGGGCTGCAGCAGAAGCTGTGTGTAGGAATCCATGGGTTAAGCCACACTTTAGGCTCACTCTGGTGTGCTGGAGGTTTCACAAGTCCACTTGCCTTGGCTTTGCCTTTCTGAGCCATCTCTGCCCTTTGCCTGGCTGAGAAAAGAGAAATTCTATTGACCACGGGTGTAAATTCTGAATTTTCCTCACCCTCTACTTTCCCTTCCTTTGGCTTTCAACACTCCCCATGACTTTGCAGCAAAGACTTCAAGGTCTTTTAAGCCCAGAGCAGTGGAATGGAACAAAGTGGCCCTGAGGCCTCGTGCCTGGGAGTGATGGGCAGGCTGGTCCTTCTCCCTCAGATCTCTCCCTTGATTTGGATTCTCTTTACAAATCCAACCTCCAGCCCTGGTGACTGTTCTGCCCTCAGCTGCCCTCCAGGAGTGCTGTTGGTAGCACTGGGGTTGTTCAGGACTCCCAGCAGCAGAAATATGAGCAGAATTTGGCCCGGGGACCTCGGCTGAGTCATCCCAGCTCTGTGTACCCTTGGTGGGTTTGGGTGTAACCTTCTTGGTGTGGGTCAGAGTTCCTTCAAAGGCAGGGAACAGCTCCATGTGCCTTCAGCTGTGCAGCTCCAGCCATTTCATTTGTAGAAGTGTGCTCCAATCCAGCTTAAATGAGGTTAAATTCACACCTGGCTTGACTCCACTGCTTTTCAGTGGATTTACCCCACACTGACGTAGGTGGCCCATCTGTTCCTCCTGCACTCCCCAGCAGCAGATCCTCCTTACCACCACTCTGCTTGATAAGGGCAGCTGAAGAAGTCAGGAGATTAGAATTAGACCCTCCCCCTGATTTTTTTTCCCCCCAATTCCACGAGGTGAGTGAAGCACAGCTAAATGGTCATTTTTAAGATGTTTTTTGGAAGCCTGTCACCCCCCACTCTTTATCAAGGTCCAGATTTTCAGCTGTTTGCATTATTTATCATAAATCAGTGCAGATTGTCATCAAATACACAGAATTGTCACTTTGGAGCAGCTCTGCAAAAAAATCACACGTTGAAACATCCATGAGTTGGAGAAAATTCCCTCCAGCCTTTGTTTGCAACATGGACATGAAAGACATCTGCAGAAGAGGAGCCCCGTGGGATTCACCCTCTTAGGGCAAGAAAATTCAGGGCTGAGCAGAGCCCTCTTAATTGGGTGCCTTGCAGCAGTTTCCAGTGGCTAATTGGGCATCATGCTGCCTTTCCAAGGAGTCCCTGTGTCCTGTCCCATTGGATCTCCTCTTTCTGGATCAGTGTTATTCCCGTCCTGACACCTCCCAGGCACGTTTGCATCTCTCTGAGCGTGGAAATAACTCATCTTAATGAGAGCCAAGTGCATGTTGCCTGGCAACACGGCATCACCGGGGTCTGCTGAGCCAGGAGAGGCAGCTGATGAGGCTGTTTTCACTGCTGTGGCTTTGAACTGAGGTGCACAGGGGGAAATATTTGCTCTGGAGAGAGGGAGGTGTGGGTGGGGTGGATGATTAGGGTGCAATCAGTGAGCAAAGAGACAACGTGCCTCGGTTCCCCAGGTTGGAGGGGAAGTTGTCGCTGTTCCATGACCCAGTTTCTCCTGGGAAGGAGGCAGCCCATGGCCCAGGGAGGCAGATCCCACGTTCTGGAGAGCAGCTGCTGTTCCCTCTGCTCTGTGTCAGCTGTCAGAAGCCATGAGCTCTCCCTGGTGAGTCGGTGCCAAGCTGACAAATCAGCTCTGACTGGTGGCACAGCACGGAGCAGGGAGCGGGTGCAGGCTGGAGATGGCATCTGAGGATAGCTCATGAGCATGGCATTGATAACTCTGCCCCTCCAGAAATCAGCACATTTTCCTTGTGTGGAAAGGCTGGGGTTTGTTCTCCTCCTGGCCCCTTGCAGCACAGAGGGCTGGCAGCAGCTTTGCTGCCTCACTTGGCCAGTGAAAAGCACCTCGTGCTTTATTTCCCACTGCAGGCTGACCCAAATATTGGGAGTTTTTAGCCCTCACCTGCCTTCCTCCTTACCAACTACCAGAGGGGGAAAATGCAGCGTGTCCAGTGCCTTCCTGCAAACAGCAGGGATGGATAAACTCACTGGAATGGGGATAATTCCTGACTGCTCTCCATGGCTGCAGTCCACGAAGGCAGAGGATGTGCTGTGACAGGCGGCTCTGCCTGAACCTTGAGGTTCTGACAGATGTTTTTCTCTTCCTGATGGTTTGATCAGACTCATCTCCACTTAGAGATGATCCAGATGGCCCCAGGAATGCAGCCATGCCAGAGGCTCAGGCTCTCTCTGTTTTCCAGGACTTCTCCTACGATGACTCGAAGGTGGAGTTCAATGTGGATGCCCCAAATGGAGTGGTGATGGAAGGTTACCTCTTCAAGAGAGCCAGCAATGCTTTCAAAACATGGAATAGGTGAGCAAGAACCCATATTCCATTGGATATTTGGGCTGAGACTCTGCACAGGAACACACCTCCCTTTTAGTGAGCTCTAACTGACTGTTAACATCACTGGAAGGATTCTGAGCCAAGTAGTTAAAAGCTGAGTAGTTAAAATAGTTAAAGGGAGGTTGGTTTGAGAGTTTCTGCAGCTTTAGTGCCTTCCACAATGGGAGAAGGAGCAGGTTTCTCTCAGGGAGGAGAGGGCACAGTGCAGATCAAGGCTTGCCCTGGGAAAACTGCCCATTTATAACAATTAAGAGAGACACCAGAACCCAGCAGGACGTGCCAGGAGTGTCAAACCTGCCTGTTTTGGGACAGGGACATGTGTGAGAGTGGAAATATCAAGTGTGCTGCCAGGAGCTGAGAAATGGCTTTCAGTGCCCTGACCCTGCTCTTAATAATTTATCCATATTTCATCTGATAGCTCCCTGGGAATGCCTGGCTCATCTGCCTCCTGCACCAGCCAGGAGCCTCTGCAGCTGCCAGAGACCTTGGAAAGTGGAAGAAAAGGTTTCATGTTCTCCCCCTGGTCGATATTTCTATGTTTAGTTTTCCCTTGAGACAGTCAGTGGGTTTCAGAGATGGTTGTACAAAAGGATTCAAACCCTTCCAGTGGGTTTCTAATGCATGAGATCAATGCTGGTCTGACCTACATTTCCTCCTCTCACATAACAGGGAAATGATGGAATATTAAGAGATCTTTTACTTGGCTGTGGGATGCATGCAGAGGATACTGGAATGTGCTGCTGTTAGGCTTTGGAATAAATAAGCACTAAAAGCTTCAGTGAACAGTTTGTGGTATGCACAGAAACTGCCTGTATTTGCATGGAAAAAAAGACTTGGAATTATTAAAGATTTCTGAATTGGCTAGATAAGCAGCTCCTTCTCTTTGAAGCTTCCCTGAGTGCTGAGGAGATTCCAGACAAATTTAGGGTAATTTCTTAGCCCTCAGGCTCTCTGGTCCCCTGACAGTCAAGGACTAAGTTTGCACTTGGAGGAACCAGTGCAGCAGTGTTTGAGTTCAGTGCTCTGGGAAGGGGTCTTAGCTGAATTTTTATCACCTTTTTAGGATTCCCTGCTTGGTGTCCCCTGAGCAGAGTCCAGCCTTGGTCCATAGTGTGGCTGCTTTCCCTGACCCCACGTGTTTCTGTGCAGCAGAATGTCCTTCCAAAGCCTGGCAGGTTAATGCCAAGACCTGCCAATGCTTGGCTTTTGGGATGGAGAGGAACAATTCCAGGCAATTCCCTTCTCCTCCTGGCAGCTCCCCTGGCTGTGAATTCATGGGTCACTCCAAAGGGCACTCACCTTGGAAGGAAAATGCCCCTCTGGGACTTTGTTTTTCTGATATCTGAAGTAACGTCGGCATCAAGGGCTCCAAGTTTTCCGTGCCCCCAAATCCCAGTTATCCTCCTACACCCCAGTCACACAGAGGCAGCAGCCTCCCCACAGCTATATCCATCTCTTCAATCCCACCCACCCTCAGCCAGTTCTGCCCACAGCTCAGCTATTCCCAGCTCCTGGAGCCCACTCATCACCTCCTCACTGAGCTCAGCCCCTCTGGCAGAGCCTCCCCCTCACGGGAGCAGCAAAATCCTCATGGAACCCCAGAATATCCTGGGCTGGGATTGGACCCACAAGGATCATTCTGAGGAGCTGAGCAGAGCCTGCAGCTGTCACAGCAACCCAGAGTGCTCCCAGCTGGATGGGATGGCCTCCAGTCACCTGTATTTTCCCATTTCTGCACAGACACATCAAGTCCTTTTGTTCTCTTTTATCAGTTTAATATTTCAGCCGTGACAAAAGAAAGGGAATCCTGTCTCATCTCATTTTCCCCTCATTCTTTTGCCAGCTGAGTATGTCATACATGCTCTCAGTAACCTCCTACTGCAATCCTCAGACTCCTTCTGCTCAGGTGTTCCAGAACCTTCTTCCTGAAAACTTCGTGGTGGTCGTGGCTTCCTTTGCCCTCCACGAAGGTGATCAGGTTGCTAAATAAATCATCCCCCTTTTAAAAGGAGATATAAATGGAAATATCCTGCTCTGCCACAAGCTGCCTCTCTAGCTCTGCTGTTTGCCTGTCCTGATGTCTGCCTGTCTGTCTGTCTTCCCTCAGGAGGTGGTTCTCCATACAGAACAGCCAGCTGGTGTACCAGAAAAAGCTAAAGGTCAGTGAGGCTGCCCCAGATGACCCCAGAGGATCAGCCAACTGCTCTGGTGTCCTGCTTTGCTGGGGGCTCCTGCTCCGTGGTGGGGAGTGGGGTGGAAGGAGCAGGGAGGGGATTTGGATCAGAGGGACAGCAAGCCTTGTGCTCCAAGGTTAGACTGTGCTGAGAGTGAAGTGTCAGCAGATGGGGTTTGTTAAATAAATGTTTATTTAGATTAAACATTCCTGTTCAGCTGAGGAAGTTGGTGGGGTCCCCAGCAAACCTGCCATGTGCTTTAATTCCATATAACCCCTTCCCACAGCCCTGGAGGGCTGGGCTGGGCTGGTTCTCCCCTCTCTGCACTATGTGCCAACAGCAGGGTTTGGGAAGGAGTTTTCTGGGCTGTGACATGGATTCAGGAGCCCTCAAGGCCCCTGTTCTCCCCCTTGCAGGATGTGCTGACGGTGGTGGTGGAGGACCTGCGGCTCTGCACTGTCAAGCCCTGTGAAGACATAGAGAGGAGGTTCTGCTTCGAGGTGGTCTCACCTACCAAGTGAGTTTGGTGGCTTCCCCAGGCCGTCCTCGTGGGAGCTGGGCTGTGCTTGGAGCTGCAAGAGATGGGATTATGTTAAATGTTAAATTGTGGCTGGGAGATGCCATTGCCTGTGCTCCAGGGTCCCTGGGAAGTTTGTCAGACAGCAGCATAACTGAACCTAGCTCATGGATTCCAGCTGATACATTACATAAGGCAAATTATATGTTATATATTATATATTATACTGAATATACATCTAGGCAGTGCAGCTGTCAGTGTTTGAAGAGGGAACAGCCCTGCCAGTGCAAATTTGTAGGATTAATTTTTGCCCCTTCGCTGCCCGCGCTGGGATGTCCGGGCTGAGGAAGAAGGGGAACAGTCTTGACCAAAATGTCCTTTTGCTCTTCCCAACTGCTCCCCTGCCTTTCCAGGAGCTGCATGCTGCAGGCTGACTCGGAGAAGCTGCGCCAGGCCTGGATCCAGGCAGTGCAGGCCAGCATTGCCTCTGCCTACCGGGAGAGCCCAGACAGCTACTACATTGAGGTGAGGGAGGAAACATCCCTCATTTCCCCTTTCCCTTCTGGAATTAGCGCCAGTTTATTCTTCTCCTGTCAGTGCCTCTGCTGGGCAAAGCCTGGTTCATTCCACAGAGCTTTGCAGAGTCCTTGATCCCCATGTAGTGCTACAGGCTGGGACTGAGTGGCTGGAGAGCAGCCAGAAAGGGAGCTGGGAGTTTGGATTGACAGGAAGCTGAACAGGAGCCAGAGTGTGCCCAGGTGGCCAAGAAGGCCGATGGATCCTGGCCTGGATCAGGAACAGTGTGGCCAACAGGTCCAAGGAAGTGATTCTTCCCCTGGACTCAGCGCTGGGGAGGCCACCCCTGGAGTGCTGTGTCCAGTTCTGGGCCCTCAGCTCAGGAAGGACATTGAGGGGCTGGAGCAGGTCCAGAGAAGAGCAACGAGGCTGGGGAAGGGACTGGAGCACAAGTGCTGTGAGGAGAGGCTGAGGGAGCTGGGGCTGTTCAGCCTGGAGAAGAGGAGGCTCAGGGGAGACCTCCTCACTCTCTGCAACTCCCTGACAGGAGGGGGGAGCCGGGGGTTGTTGGTCTCTTTTCCCAGGCAACCATCAGCAAGACAAGAGGGCTCGGTCTTCAGCTGTGCCAGGGGAGGGTTAGGTTGGATATTAGGAAGAATTTCTTTGCAGAGAGGGTGCTCAGCCATTGGAATGGGCTGCCCAGGGAAGTGGTGGATTCTCCATCCCTGGAGGTTTTTAAGAAGAGACTGGATGTGGCATCAGTGCCATGGGCTGGGAACCACAGTGGGGTTGGATCAAGGGTTGGACTTGATGATCTTGGAGGTCCCTTCCAACCCAGCTGATTCTGTGATTTTATGATTCTAACCCTTTTTCCCTGCAGAGACTGGACCGAACTGCCTCCCCCTCCACGAGCAGCATCGACTCCGCCACCGACTCCCGGGAGCGCAGTGGGAAGGGAGAGACCATCCTGCAGAGAGTGCAGAGCATCCCTGGCAACGACCAGTGCTGTGACTGTGGGCAGCCAGACCCTCGCTGGGCCAGTATCAACCTGGGCATTCTGCTGTGCATTGAGTGCTCAGGGATCCACAGGTACTGTGTGTGTGTGTGCTCTGGGTGAGCCAGGCAGGGATTGCAGGCTCCTGGGGAAAAGGGAGGAGCTGGAATTACCACTGACTAAAATGCTCATGCAGATAAATTCAAAAGTAATTGCTTGCTGAGGTACCTGTGTGTGCAGGTACATCTGTGTTGGTGTATGCACAACACTCTGCATCTGTGTAGAAGATAAATAAGAACTGGACCAATCTTGCTCATCTGAACATGCATGAGAAGTTCTGTTTTGAGGCGTGTAACCACTTTGGTTTTCTTCCTCTTTGATGAACAGGAGCCTGGGTGTTCACTGCTCCAAGGTCAGATCCCTCACACTGGATTCCTGGGAGCCAGAATTACTGAAGGTGAGGGTTGGAATTTAACAGCAAGAGATGGATGAATGGTGGCAGGATAGACTAGAAGGAAGATAACTCCTCACCTGGGGATTTAATTCATTCCCTGTTGAATTGCAGCTGATGTGTGAGCTGGGGAACAGCACCATGAATCAGATTTACGAGGCACAGTGTGAAGAGCTGGGACTCAAGAAACCAACAGCAGGGAGCTCCAGGTGAGTCTGGGGGCACACACTGTCCTGTGGGAAGCCACCCATCCATCCATCCATCCATCCATCCATCCATCCTTCCATCCACACTGCAAACCCAGTACCCCAAACTCCCCAGAAGGTCAGATCAAGAGGGCTCCAAACACCTCAGGTACACCTACCCCAGCTCAGTCCCTCTGGAGCTCCCCTGAGCTTGAGCCTCCCAAAGGTCAGGGGTTCATTCCCAGCCCTGCTGAACGTTCTGGAAACCAGGACTGGTTGAGTTTACCCCTGGGTTACAGCTGCTCTTAGACCTGAAGCACGTGGTGGTGCCTGGGGCTGATCATCTCACACTCCACTCTCAGCTGCACCCCTTTTTTTCAGAAATCACAAAAATGTTATAAAGGCAAATGCATTCAAGAGACAAAGCCACCCCCTTTTATTAGGGTAAGGATACAGTCATAAAAAAAAATATGTGAAATTTTCTAAGTAACCACCTGGACTTCAGCAGTTCCTAAATGACATTAAATGATAACGAGCCTTCTGAGGAAAAAAGATCACTGCTGTAGGCAACACTGCAAGCACTACTCACAAACTCTATTTGACAAAACAAAGTAGCAGCAAAATATTCAGTTTATTTCTTTCAGCAAGCAAGAAATAAGAAAAAATAATGGCAAGGTTAAAACTATCTGAATACCAAGAAGCATCGAGTTCAGAAGCTCATAACTTGAACATCCTGAACTATTTTCTGGTGAAGTCATTCATATAATGGGTTGGTAGCTGTGCCTTGACAGAGCAGATGTTTTTAGCTTCGAGAGACCTGAATTTTTAGGTCTCAGAGCCAGGCTGACGAAATTCCCCGGAGCAGCTCCGGGTCTCCTCGTGACCGCTGCGGGCAAATCGTGACTCTGTGCACGGCTCTGTGCCTTCCCTTAGGCAGGACAAGGAGGCCTGGATCAAGGTGAAGTACGTGGAGAAGAAATTCCTGAAGAAGCTGCCGAGCGGGGAGGCTCTGGCGGAGAACGAGCGGAAGCCTCGGCGCTGGTGCGTCAAGAAGTGCCAGAGGCACAACAGCGCCACGAAAGCACCCACAGCTCGGAGGAAGTACCGGCACGAGGCAGGGAATGCCTCCCCAGCCCTGCTGTCCTCAGGTGGGAACATCCCTGTGCTCTCCCAGTACCAGCCTGTGGCCCCAGGCTCGCTGCAGACCTGCCCTGGGTGTAACCCAAAATGCTTCTGCACATGTTGACACGGGTTTGTAAACCCGTTTCCTAACGTTTTCCATCTGTTTAAGGAGCTAAAGGAGGAGGTTGTTCCACTTTGTGCATTTTCTTTCGTGTTCCTGCTTTTTAATAAGTCTCAAATAATTTTATTTTTAGCTGCCTGGCCTGTAAGAGAGGCCACACTTAGGAAGGGTTCTGGCTGCTCAGGGTGCTCTGGGATGGTTGGTTTGCAGTGGACCAGCCCCCTGGGATGGTTGGTTTGCAGTGGA